CATTAACATGTCGATAATGTCAATGTAATATTAAAATGATAAATAATATTAGCATCGATTGTTTTAATATATCTTCCAAAGTAACAAATAGACTTTCTTATATGTCGTGTTTTTTGTGTTGAAAATACAAAAATGTAGTATGAAATAAAAATTGTTGATATTATTTTCATCTTTTTCAGAGCAAATCTCCGTCGTTTAAAGATTGCGATATTACAAGTGTGTATAGTGCTACCAATAGCTTTATTCGTTGCCTCTGTTATATGGATTCAAAATTTCTACAGCCCTGGAGTGGTACGTGACTACAATTACATGTACTTTCGATAACTTGTATTTAGTGAAACATGGAATATATTTTCCCTTTTCTAACATTGAACTTTATTACCTTATAGATGACATTGTTACCGTTTTTGATAAAAATAAATGTATGTGCTTGCGCCTTACAACATACATTTGATGATAATCTTTTTTTTTCATCCAGGTACCCATTAACTTTATCTACACTGCCATCTACTGTTTCACAACAGTTTCCACTTTGTGTTCGCTCTATGGTTTGATGATGTTTTTCATTGTTTCGAAAGACCCCCTGCGAGACTATGACATCACGCCTAAATTTCTGACTATATCATTGGTGCTGGCGGTTTTCAACACGCAGAACTTTATACTGGGTCTGCTCTCTTCGATGATTGTGTTCCGATGCATTGGAGAAACTGAAAACGGACGATGTGAGTATTACGTCACAGTATTACCCGTCATGCAAAACGAAAGCTGATTTCAATAATAATATGTGAAATAAAAAACAGTTTCGTTATAAGATGTATGAACACCATTGACAGCTTAGAAAATATAAAACTGAATGAATAATTGCAATTATTATTTTTTAGGGAAAATTGAAATGGGCGTAGTTGATCTCGGAAACGTACAATCGGTGGAAGAGTTGCTTATGGCTTTGATACAGAAGAGTTCGGTTGTAGAAGTGTTCTTTTCAGGTAAAAACACTTTTGTTTTACATTTACATATATATATATATATATATACAGAATTCTCATATGGGCTAAACACGATTGAAAAAACAAACCAATTCACATATCTAGGGGTAACATTTAATACAAATGGGGCAATGAACATGACCATGGAAAGATTGATAGATAAAGCAAAAAAAGCTGATGCAGCAATCAAACCAGTATTAACATCAAACAAGTTAAACATGCTTTTACAATTGAAATTATTTGAGGGCATCCAGACACCAATTTTAACTTATGCTGCAGAAATTTGGGGAATCAATAGCAGACCAGAGTACAGGAACAAAACGTGTACAGAAAAACACCATTTAATGTTCTGTAGACGATTATTAAATGTTAATAACAGAACAAGTAACATTGGTAGTAGAATGGAAATTGGACGACTACCATTACTAGCAAAAATACACTGAATGCAATCATATACTACCAAAATATTATTAAGAATGGCCCAATCAGTCTAGTATATGATGCAATAAAAGATCAACAACAAAACAAATATAATGACACATGGTTAATGAATCTGCATAAAATAAAACAGCTGTATGATATTAAGAATTTAGAAACAATTAAAAAAGACCAGTTTAAACAAAAAGTGAATGAATATTACAATTATAAATGGAACCAAGATAATCAAAGACCAGATTCAAAACTAAGAACTTATACATTACTGAAGAAAAATATAAATACTGAACCATACATTAAAATCCTTGATAATAAAGAAAACATTGGTCTATTAGCAAAATTGAGACTAAGTGCCCATAAACTAAACATCG